GGGACAGAGGTGACTGGGGAGGGGTGTAAGGTTGCTGGCTGGTGAGAGGGGGGGGAGGGGTTATGAGTGAGGTCCAGGAGGCCATATGAGTAGAGCAAGGTCCAGGAGGCCATATGAGTAGAGCAAGGTCCAGGAGGTCATATGAGTAGAGCAAGGTCCAGGAGGCCATATGAGTAGAGCAAGGTCCAGGAGGTCATATGAGTAGAGCAAGGTCCAGGAGGCCATATGAGTAGAGCAAGGTCCAGGAGGCCATATGAGTAGAGCAAGGTCCAGGAGGCCATATGAGTAGAGCAAGGTCCAGGAGGCCATATGAGTAGAGCAAGGTCCAGGAGGCCGTATGAGTAGAGCAAGGTCCAGGAGGCCATATGAGTAGAGCAAGGTCCAGGAGGCCATATGAGTAGAGCAAGGTCCAGGAGGCCGTATGAGTAGAGCAAGGTCCAGGAGGCCATGTGAGTAGAGCAAGGTCCAGGAGGCCATATGAGTAGAGCAAGGTCCAGGAGGCCGTATGAGTAGAGCAAGGTCCAGGAGGCCATATGAGTAGAGCAAGGTCCAGGAGGCCATATGAGTAGAGCAAGGTCCAGGAGGCCATATGAGTAGAGCAAGGTCCAGGAGGCCATATGAGTAGAGCAAGGTCCAGGAGGCCGTATGAGTAGAGCAAAGTCCAGGAGGCCATATGAATAGAGCAAGGTCCAGGAGGTCATATGAATAGAGCAAGGTCCAGGAGGCCGTATGAATAGAGCAAGGTTGAAGGTTCATATTAGACGGACGTAACACCTCACAGCACATAGGACAGGACCACCATGCCACCCATCTAAAAACCGGACAACTAAGCACGCAAATCCAGCTATAAACATATGGATCTCTTAACCCTTAAACTGCTACACCCTTAATAATCCGATTAAAAAAAATGCACCATATTAGTAAGAATTTAACCACTGAAATATTGACATTTTTCCCCTTGCCTCAGGCTCGGTAAGGTTTCAGGGTAGAATTGCCTCTTAGGTTTTTGTACGTTTCAGGCTTAGGCCAAACCGTTGCATTTTCTTACGTAGTGGCAGAGACAATTTGACGCGGTCCAAACGGGATTAACACCCCAGGATAAGATAAATAACAATAAAAAACAGGATATTAAAAGCAGGATAATATCTGATCCCCCCAAATAAATTATTTCTATAAATATTATAATTATATTATTATCCTCTAACGCTCCTGTGAGTAATTGCGGTCAGCTGTCATTCTCGCTTGAGACACGGCTGGCCCCTACCCCCACCCCCCTCTCACTCTACCACTTCCTCAAGAGCTAACTTTAGCTCCTTGGACGACGCTGTCACAAACAATATACACCCCACCTTTGCTACACCTCACTTGACACTGTCATCGTCATAATGATATCACAGGATAGCAGCACACAGGGGAGACATCTCCCGTCCACGAGGCTAACCATAGCCCGTGCTACTTGCCCCGCTCCTGTGCTAGGTAAGTTACGGGCTCACCATAGCCCGTGCTACTTCGAACTTGATCTGAGTAGCTGAATCTATAACAACAACAACATAGCAGCACGACCACTAAGCAAGATGGAGAAGCGACGAAGCTCTCGCTCCGTCGTGGACCATTGATATCAAGTCGTGTGATAACGTGATAACACGACTAATAACGGTCGTCGCTTCCCCGTCTTCTGAATTGGGGGTTTTGGTTATCATGTCTTCAGTCACGTTAGATATGGCTGAAGATATGGTTAGATATGGCTGAAGATATGGTCAGATATGGCTGAAGATATGGTTAGATATGACAGAAGATGTGGTTACATATGGCTGAAGATATGATTAGATATGACTGAAGATATGGCTGAAGATATGGCTGAAAATGTGGTAAGATATGGCTGAAGATATTGTTAGATATGGCTAAAGATATGGTTATATATGGCTGAAGATATGGTCAGATATGGCTGAAGATATGGGTAGTCATCCCAGACATCTCAGAAGGAAGACCTCTAAGAAACGACCCAAATGGCTTAGACTAAATAACAAGAGGTTGGGAGACTTATTGAAACCGACAAGAAAGTGTGTGTGATACAAAATATTTCAGGTTTTCAGAATGGAACAGCAACAACTACCACCACCACAGAGGACACGAACAACCATTTCTGGCGTACGTTTGACCTGAAAGGGGAAAAAGTTGCTAATCAGTACTATATCATTTCAAGAGGAAAGGATGGGAACCAGCGTAGAAGGACTTGAGTAGCACATACAGCATATCGAGCCACAACTCACCGTTATGACAGATGAATCTGTTGTTGTTATACAAATATAACAAATATCTAGACATCTAGAATAGATTAAGGCAGCGTCTGGGATGCTTTCACACGTAGGTTCGAATCCTCGTCACGGCCCTTGTGGATTTGTCCATAACCAATATCTACATACAAAAAAAACAGGATGGAGAGATATGAAGCAACTAGGCACATTGATGAAGAGGAGGAGGGGAGCGAGAGGGAAAGGGGAAAGAAAGGTGAGAGAAAGTGAGAGGGGAGGAAAGAGCAATAGAGTGAAAAGAGAAGTTAAGGGGAGAGTGATAGTGATAGAATAGAGAGGAGAGAGAGAGAGAGAGAGAGAGAGAGAGAGAGAGAGAGAGAGAGAGAGAGAGAGAGAGAGAGAGAGAGAGAGAGAGAGAGAGAGAGAGTGAGAGAGAGAGAAAGAAAGAGAGAGAGAGAGAGAGAGAGAGAGAGAGAAGAGAGAGACGAGGGGGACGCTGAGGGCATGGGGAGAGGGGAGAGGAGAGAGAGGGGAGAGAGCCAGCGACACAATCTGCCAATAACAGAACGGATGTCACTCTGTCGAGTTATTTTTGCTGGTGTAGAGTAGCCTCGAGGCCGAGCCGAACCTTGGTACAGTTTACAGGTATACCAGAGGTATATACCTGGCCGTGGCTAGCATACCTGGCCGTGGCTAGCATATCTGGCCGTGGCTAGCATACCTGGTCGTGGCTAGCATATCTGGCCGTGGCTAGCATACCTTGCCGTGGCTAGCATACCTGGCCGTGGCTAGCATACCTTGCCGTGGCTAGCATACCTGGCCGTGGCTAGCATACCTGGCCGTGGCTAGCATATCTGGTCGTGGCTAGCATATCTGGCCGTGGCTAGCATATCTGGTCGTGGCTAGCATACCTGGCCGTGGCTAGCATACCTGGTCGTGGCTAGCATATCTGGCCGTGGCTAGAATACCTGGCCGTGGCTAGCATACCTGGCCGTGGCTAGCATACCTGGCCGTGGCTAGCATACCTGGTCGTGGCTAGCATATCTGGCTGTGGCTAGCATACCTGGCCGTGGCTAGCATACCTGGCCGTGGCTAGCATACCTGGCCGTGGCTAGCATATATGGCCGTGGCTAGCATACCTGGCCGTGGCTAGCATATCTGGTCGTGGCTAGCATACCTGGCCGTGGCTAGCATATCTGGTCGTGGCTAGCATACCTGGCCGTGGCTAGCATACCTGGTCGTGGTTAGCATATCTGGCCGTGGCTAGCATATCTGGTCGTGGCTAGCATATCTGGCCATGGCTAGCATATCTGGCCGTGGCTAGCATATCTGGCCGTGGCTAGCAATCTGGCCGTGGCTAGCATATCTGGCCGTGGCTAGCATATCTGGCCGTGGCTAGCATACCTGGCCGTGGCTAGCATATCTGGCCGTGGCTAGCATACCTGGCCGTGGCTAGCATATCTGGCCGTGGCTAGCATACCTGGCCGTGGCTAGCATATCTGGCCGTAGCTAGCATATCTGGTCGTGGCTAGCATATCTGGCCGAGGCTAGCATATCTGGCCGAGGCTAGCATATCTGGCCGAGGCTAGCATAGCTGCTCAGAGATAGGTTATCTTGAGGTTATCTTGAGATGATTTCGGGGCTTTTAGTGTCCCCGCGGCCCGGTCCTCGACCAGGCCTCCACCCCCAGGAAGCAGCCCGTGACAGCTGACTAACACCCAGGTACCTATTTTACTGCTAGGTAACAGGGGCATAGAGTGAAAGAAACTCTGCCCATTGTTTCTCGCAGGCGCCCGGGATCGAACCCGGGACCACAGGATCACAAGTCCAGCGTGCTGTCCGCTCGGCCGACCGGCTCCCTATGGTTGTGAATGTATGTATGTATGTATGTATGTATGTATGTATGTATGTATGTATGTATGTTTGTATGTAGTATTATAACGGTACATACGTCGCAACGACACGGGATCACTGATCTCTACATATGTGAGTTAATAAGTACGTCTGATGCCACACCTATATGGGTGACTTGGGGTGGATGCTGGCCCCTGTCACCCGTCTTGGGGTGGATGTTGACCTCTGTCACCCGTCCTGGGGTGGATGTTGGCCCCTGTCACCCGTCCTGGGGTGGATGTTGGCCCCTGTCACCCGTCTTGGGGTGGATGTTGACCTCTGTCACCCGTCCTGGGGTGGATGTTGGCCCCTGTCACCCGTCTTGGGGTGGATGTTGACCCCTGTCACCCGTCTTGGGGTGGATGCTGGACCCTGTCACCCGTCCTGGGGTGGATGCATCCCTCACCGACAGATATTTAAGAGGGGAACCACTTCCGGTGGGTTCTACCCCAGTCTCCCCTCTCCCCCTTCAGTCTAACACGTGGTCACCTGACATACTAACCTCCCCTCTCTCTTTCCCCTCACACATTTCCTTCCCTTTTAGACCGCCATTACACTCCCCCCCCCTTTCCCTGTTCCATACCCCTTCCCCCTTGTCGCTAGTCTTTCCCCTCTCATTCCCCTTTCACCGCCCACTCACACCAATCAATGGCCCGCCCTCCCCTCATGCTTCCCCTCATCTCACTTTTAACCGACAATGACCTGCCAATGACCTTACCTCACACTCCCTCACACTCTTCTCTCTCTCTCCCAGTGACCCGAGGGAAGCTGGCTTCCCCTCTGTGACCTCCTGCTCCCCTCACGGTCACGCTAATTGCTTGTTTGGACAGTAACCCATCCCAGGAATATCGTCAATTAAGGACTGGAAGTGACGCGGACATTGACAGAGAATCCGGAGAGTAAGCGATCGTCTAACCGCGAGAACTGAAGTTAGATTGTGCAAGTTCAAGTTCAAGTTCAAGTATGTTTATTGAGATAAGCAAGAAATACATCTCAAAGGGATAGAGTAGCTTAGGCTATTTCTACCCCCCTATGATATGATTTATGGTATGATTTCTACCCCCCAAAACAGAACGCTTTAAAAGAGACTAACGTCGTCTATGCCTTCAAATGCCCACTTGGGGACTGTAAGCTCCAAAAAACCCAGTATATAGGCAAGACAACAACATCTCTTTCCAGGCGATTAACGATGCATAAGCAACAGGGCTCCGTTAAGGAACATATAATCTCTTCCCACAACCAGACCATCACCAGAGAAGTCTTAACAAACAACACAGAAATCATCGATAGATACAGCGATAGCAGGCGGCTTGATATCTGCGAGGCACTACACATCAAGAAGTCAACACCAGCAATCAACAGCCAGTTAATGCACAACTATATTCTACCCACTTCAAGACTCCGTTCCAATATAGAAGCATCAAGAAATATGGGCCAATAGGCCCTCTGCAGTTACTTCCATTCTTCCCTTTAACTTACAAAATATTATACCCATTGTTTCGTGTTCTGTCTTGTGTTGAAAGTTTGTTTTCACCTCATCCAAAACTGTTGTAACATATCACCTCACCCAAATGCAGGTATATAAGATAAAAGGTTAAGATAGGTTTAAATTATAGCATAGTAGAACTCTGTTTACTGTTTGCAGGTTATAGTTGTGTGTGTGTAAACTAAAGTCTTTGAAAATGTAATAAGTTATTACGAAACGCGCTCAAGTGTCGCGTCAGACTAGAAATAAAAATGAATTCTGGAGAATTGATTTTCAATTACCATCAACAGTGAAAAGAAACATAAGAAATATTGAGAAAATTCGTGTTAGAATTATTAATCTTACTTTTTCGGTCATATTTAATAAAATATATATATATATATATATATATATATATATATATATATATATATATATATATATATATATATATATATATATATATATATATATATATTTATTTATATATATATATATATATATATATATATATAGCATCAATACAGGGGATAGTTATTGATGAGTTATGATTTGATTTGGTGATTTAAGTGCTGTAACCACAGAGGATTCAAGTAAGGGGAAATAAGGTGGTTGATCTATGGAATCACTTGATTGTTTCAAGCGTAGGTTAGACATGTATATGAGGGAGTTTGAGGGGAAGTGGAGATATAAATAGGAGCTCTATCGTATATGGGCCTATATATATATATATATATATATATATATATATATATATATATATATATATATATATATATATATATATATATATTAAGCATAGACACAGTGTTCTCCCATATTAACAGGGACTTGATGAAAAAACGTAAAAATGACCCCTCACTTGCTCTTGGGAGGTAGTAGTCTTTGGAGTGTATAAATACTCCGAAATTACCATCTCTTTTAAGGGTCTGAGCAGGTGGTGGAGTGGGTTAAGGCGTACCTGTTATGCCAGTTGCTGGAAGGCTTCTGTGCTGGCTAGGGTTCGAGTCTCCTGGTGGGAAAGTGTTTCTAAAGTTATATATATATATATATATATATATATATATATATATATATATATATATATATATATATATATATATATATATATATATATATATATATATAGGCCTTCTGCAGTTTCCTTAATTTCCTGCTCCTAAGCCAAAATATGATTGGATAGTGAGTTAGGATACATATATACTACACTGGATAACATCTCTCCTGGATACACTCGCTTGTCTATCAATTCCCCCCACTTTCCCACCCCTTCAACTTCTCTCCACGTCAACCCCTCCCCCATCAATCACCCCCATTGGCAGGAAAGTAGACTGGGAGAGGCAGGACCCGGGCAGGATAGACCCATCTTCTCCTCCCTCCCTTCCTTCCCTCCCCTAGACCAAGGGAAAGGGGTAGAAAGACATGTTCTACTGACACCTGACCTGGCAGGAGGCAGATGTGTGCCTCGCTACTGCTACTGCTGCTGCTGCTGCTGCTGCTGCCAGGTCTGTGGCCCCTTCCTCTGCTCTATACCCACCTATATACCCACTCTAAGCTGAGCCTCGTCCTATACCCAAGGGTAGGTGGTGGTATAGGGGGAGGTATAAGTGGGTTAAATCTTACAATCTTCTTGAGGTTATCTTGAGATGATTTCGGGGCTTTAGTGTCCCCGCGGCCCGGTCCTCGACCAGGTCTCCACCCCCCAGGAAGCAGCCCGTGACAGCTCACTAACACCCAGGTACCTATTGTACTGCTAGGTAACAGGGGCATAGGGGGGAAAGAAACTCTGCCCATTGTTTCTCGCCGGCGCCCGGGATCGAACCCGGGACCACAGGATCACGAGTCCAGTGTGCTGTCCGCTCGGCCGACCGGCTCCCCCTACAAAGCTATAGTTCCCTGATTGTCAGACCCGTATACTTGATTAGGTTAGTATGTGTTACTATGTATGCTACTCTGACACTGAAAATACAGTACTAATGTCTATGTGGCTCATTTGGGTACTAAGTTTCCACCTGTGTCCCCTTGTTCGCGTACCTTTGTACTCACTTAGTTGTACTCACCTAGTTGTGCTTGCGGGGGTTGAGCTCTGGCTCTTTGGTTCCGCCTCTCAACTGTCAATCAACTGGTGTACAGGTTCCTGAGCCTACTGGGCTCTATCATATCTACATTTGAAACTGTGTATGGAGTCAGCCTCCACCACATCACTGCCTAATGCATTCCATCTGTTAACTACTTTGACAATTCTTTCTAATGTCTCTGTGGCCCATTTAGGTACTCAGTTCCCACCTGTGTCCCCTTGTTCGTGTTCCACCCGTGCTAAATAGTTTGCCTTTGTCAACCTTGTCAATTTCCCTGAGAATTTTGTAGGTAGTTATCATGTCTCCCCTTACTCTTCTGTCTTCCAGGGACGTGAGGTTCAGCTCCCTTAGCCTTTCCTCGTAGCTCATACCGTTCAGTTATGGGATTAGTCTCGTGGCAGACCTCTGCATCTTCACCTACTTTGTCTTGAGTTTAACTAGATATGGACTCCAGGCTGGAGCTGCATACTCCAGGATTGGTCTGACATAGGTTGTATACAAGGTCCTGAGTGGCTGAGTTCCCCACCACTTCCCCTCTCACCATTCTCTCTACAATCTCCCCTCACTAATTTACTTTCCCCCTTAACCTTGTCCACCCCATTTCCTCTCTGTCCCCTTATTCCTCCCATTCCTTTCCCCTTTCCCCCCCCCTCTCCCCTTCCATATCCCCCCTCACTATCCACCATACAAGGATCTAGTGACAATTTACCATAAATGCCGAAAGGCAAGTTTTATGGCTTCCTTAATTATACCATGGGATAAGCCTCCACTCCCAGGGTACTCCTTGCTTCTCCCAGCTGGGGGCCTGACGGCTGAGTGGTCAGCGCTCGGGATTCGTAGTCATAAGGTTCCGGATTCGATCCCCGCTGAAGCGGAAACAAATGGGCAGAGTTTCTTTCACCCCCTGGTGGGCCCCCCCTGTTCACCTAGCAGTAAATAGGTACCTGGGAGTTAGACAGCTGCCACGGGCTGCTTTCTGAGGGGTGTTGTAATAAAAAAGGAGGCCTGGTCGAGGACCGAGCCGTGGGGACGCCAAGCCCCGAAATCATGTCAAGAATTAATATATTATTATTATTATAATAATTAAAAATAATAATATAGGAGCGGCAGCATCCACAAAGTTATCCTACGTGTTATCTTAATTATCTCCTGTCCTCTCTCTTCCATCCTATCCCTTCTTTTTCTCATTCTCTATTCTCTCTTTCACATTGTCTATCCTTTCTTATTATGTCCTCTTTCGTATCTTATCTTAATTTACCCTCTTTTTTTCCATCCTTTCCCCTCCCCCCCTTTCTTTATTTCCCCTTTCTTCTTCCCTGCCTTTATCTGTTAACGTGACCTCTTCCCTCATTCTGCCATGCCCTCTTTTGCCCTCTTCTTCGTTATTATATCCTGTCTACCCCTCATCCTCTCTTCTCACTCTCATTTCTCCCTATTCCCTCTATTTCCCCTCACTCTAATGTTTTTAAGTACTCCTAATTCTTTCCTCCATAAATTCACTCTGCCCTATTCTCTATTCCCAAGTTTGTTCCTCCTCTCCCTCTCCCCTCATTCTTCCATTTCCATCCCATTTATACCCCTCACTCCAGTATTCATGGTTTACCTCCTTCTCTCTCCCTTCTCCCTTCCCAGAGTAAACCCTAAGCCATTCCTTCCCCTCCTTTACTATACCTCTCCCCCCTTTATCTTCACTACACCTCTCCCCTCACCCCCCACTACACCTCTCTCCCCTCACTGGGGATATTATCTGTTCCCTCACTTGCCTTTGTCTTCCATTGTTGACATTCCTGAGTACTCTCCTCTCTCTCCCCTCTCTCTCTCCACACCCCCCTCCCTCCTCCTCCTCTCCCCTCTCTCTCTCCACACCCCCCTCCTCCTCCTCCTCTTCCCTCACTCTCACTAATATATTCCTTTTCTTTACTCTTTTCTCTCTCTCTCTCTCTCCCTCCCTCTCTCTCTCTCTCTCTCTCTCTCTCTCTCTCTCTCTCTCTCTCTCTCTCTCTCTCTCTCTCTCTCTCTCTCTCTCTCTCTCTCCCTCCCTCTCCTCCCTCTCCTCTCTCTCTCTCCCTCTCTCTCTCTCTCTCTCTCTCTCTCTCTCTCTCTCTCTCTCTCTCTCTCTCTCTCTCTCCCTCTCTCTCTCCTTCCCCTTTCCATCACTTTCCCTCTCAATCTCTTCCTTTTACAATTCCTATTCATTTCCCATTATCTCACTTTCCCACCCTAAGGCTCCTAAGTATATATATATATATATATATATATATATATATATATATATATATATATATATATATATATATATATATACACACAAATTAACTCTCCAAAGTTCATTTGTTTCGTTAACTCTTGTCAACATTGTCAAAGGCAATGTAGGAATGATTACAATTTGATTGATAAAGATTAAGCCACCCAAGAGGTGGCACGGGCATGAATAGCCCGCAAGATTACGAATTGCCTTGCTGCCTCACATGTCCCAGAGGATGAGGTGAAGAACCCCACTCACATATAGATCCACTGTGTCCTGGTCACAGTTTGAAAAAGATGCAAGGAGGCCTAGTCGAGGACCGGGCCGCGGGGGACGCTGAGCCCCGAAATCATCGCAAGGTAAAGATGACTAGGGGGGGGGGCAGTATGGAGCTTACCTTTGCCAGGTGAATGGGGGGGGGCTTGTTTACCTTTTCCAGGTGAATGGGGGACCTTACCTTTGCCAGGTGAATAGGGGGGAGCTTACCTTTTCCAGGTGAATCGGGGAGCTTACCTTTGCCAGGTGAATGGGGGGGCTTACCTTTCCTAGTTGAATGGGGGGGGCTTGTTTACCTTTTCCAGGTGAATGGGGGAGCTTACCTTTGCCAGGTGAATGGGGAGCTTACCTTTGCCAGGTGAATAGGGGAGCTTACCTTTGCCAGGTGAATAGGGGGGAGCTTACCTTTGCCAGGTGAATGGGGCTTCTCGAAGAGTGGGGTAGAAAGTGCTCTGGAGAAGTGCTCGTCGACCACCGCTGCCGTGTCCCCGGCGTAGTGCGTGACCACCATGCAATTAGCTGACACGTACTTCACCTCCTGGCGCACGGAAGGCACGGAGGGAGGGGGGGGGGCGAGGGAGGAAGACAGAAAGAAACACAAGACTTAGTACCAATTGTGCTCATTAGATACGTTTAAGATTATCTAGCACAAACGTTATCTATGAATTTCTTCGCTATTGTGGTAACCCACACCTGGTGGTAGGTGTAGGGGAGGTTGGGAGGGGGGGGTGTTACACACCTGGATTAGAGGGGGGGAGGTACCTATACAGTGGAGAAGGGGGGGGGGTGGAGGTACCAATACAGTGGAGAAGGGGGGGGAGGTACCTATGCAGTAGAGAAAGGGGGGGAGGTACCTATACAGTGGAGAAGGTGGGGGTGGAGGTACCAATACAGTGGAGAAGGGGGGGTGGAGGTACCTATACAGTGGAGAAGGGGGGGAGGGGTGGAGGTACCTATACAGTGGAGAAGGGGGGGAGGGGTGGAGGTACCAATACAGTGGAGAAGGGGGGGGAGGTACCTATACAGTGGAGAAGGGAGGGTGGAGGTACCTATACAGTGGAGAAGGGAGGGTGGAGGTACCTATACAGTGGAGAAGGGGGGGGGGAGGTACCTATACAGTGGAGAAGGGGGGGAGGTACCTATACAGTGGAGAAGGGAGGGTGGAGGTACCTATACAGTGGAGAAGGGGGGGAGGTACCTATACAGTGGAGAAGGGGGGGTGGAGGTACCTATACAGTGGAGAAGGGGGTGGAGGTACCTATACACCCAGAGAGCTAGAAACTTGGGCAATTACAGTAAACATCTTATTTTATCTATAGAAACAAACATTATCTTAACTTCAGTGAAACTAAACAAGTGAATATCAGTCACCTAATTTCTCTACGAGTTAATGAGTCCCCTCAGATAAATCCCCCATTAACGAATTAAGGTTCTAAATCTAAATCAAAATCTCTCTCTAACTTACGTTGGCGTGTTGAGAGGGGGAGCCAGGGGGTTCAGTGAGGGGCGGGTGGTGGTGAGGATGGTGGTGGTGATGGTGGTGATGGTGGTGGTGCTGCTGGTGGTGGTGGTGGAGGTGTGGACTGGTGTGCTGGTGCTGGGAAGGTGGTGGTGGTGGTGGTGGTGCTGAAGAGACCTCTGTTTCACTGCAGAATTTCTGTAAGAGGCAGACGATATCAACTATAAGGAATATCATTAGTATCTGTTGAACTAAAATACCTCCATTATACATATATAAAAAATATATATTGCATATATATATATATATATATATATTCAGTACTAATTAACAACATTTGTAACTAATTAATACCATTCAGCATGAATTAAAAAATTAAATACTCAAGTGAATGCAAATTCACATTATAATCTTTAGTAATAACATATTTAATCAATTAGGCAATATTTGTGTTTCTATATGAGTATGGAACGAAGCAGCTGTGGTGAGCACCACCCGGGCGCTGGTTCGATCCCCAAATCACCCTCAAAACACGGATTTAGCCCAGATTGGATTCAAAATATCTTACGAGTGACATGCATGTCTTCTAAAGAGTAGAAGAAGATTATGAAGATTTTATGAAGATTTAAGATTCGTAATCTATTATGAAGATTTTATGAAGATTTTATGAAGATTAAAGATTCATAACATAATAAAGTTTACCTCATAAAGTTCCTGTTTCTATTTCTGTATTACCCGAGCATAATTATAACGTATAATTTATGACTTAATTAATCATTATATATGCAATTATGAGCTATGTGTATCGCTAATGAGACGAATGTGTGATGTGAAGGGATTTTAATAATAATTCACTATATCGGGAGGGACAGGAAGCCAGAGTGTATGCATACACATTTGGCTTTTATCGTGGTAACGGAGCTTACAGTAAGCCCATTCTCTATAAACTTGTCACTCCGTACAAAATACAACTGTTGTATGACCCAATCAGCGTACAAACCCAAGCAACCCACCAAGCCTAATGAGGCCGGGGCATAAAACATATCATTATATTGCTTTAATTTTGACTAATACGTCACATTTTTAACGGACTGGTCAATTCCGTAAAAAGAATAAAATTACGACGCATTGGATGGGACGAAATGTTGTTAATGTCTTAAGACGGGTGAAGACGCCCCCCCATACACATTCCTAAGGAGAGGATTAACGTCCTCTCTCTCTCTCTCTCTCTCTCTCTCTCTCTCTCTCTCTCTCTCTCTCATATACACACAAGGGGCCTCGCGGCTGAGTGGACAGCGCTCTGGGATCGTGGTTCTAGGGGGGGCCCCGGGTTCGATCTCCGGCAGAAACAAATGAGGCAGAGTTTCTTGCACTCTGATGCGACTGTTCACCCCTAGCAGCAAATAGATTCCTAGGGGAGGAATGGTTCCCAACCACTTGGACGGTCGGGGATTGAACGACGACCTGCATGAAGCGAGACTCGCTCTACCGCCCAGTCCAAGTGGTTGGACTTAAATACAGGCAGTGAAATATTAAAGAGATTGTCCACGACATTGTGTGAAGCAACAACTGGACTATGTCACCCGTATTTGAAGAAGCACATCAACAAACCGGAAAGGGGTGCAAAGGCATGATACTAAATGGCTTTTGGAACTAACAAAAAACCAAAGCTACGAGGAGAGGCTAGAATTTTCCTGCCCGAAACGCTTTGCGTAATAGTGGCTTTTGGCATTGTATGTACTAGCTCTATCTATAAATCTATCAATTTTTGTAAAATCTCTTGTATGTATGTACCTTACCTGAATAAACATTTATTTATTATTATTATTTATTATAAGTGTTAGATTTGCCAAAGCAGGAAGATAGAAGAAAAAGTGAAGATATGATCACTACATACGAAATAGTAACTCAACCAAAGAGGAGTTCTTAAAGCCTGCAACATCAGGAACAAGTTCTAAGTCATATAATCCAGTTATGGGAAACAAAGTTGCCAAAAAAATATTAGAAAGTTGTCCTTTGTAAACAGAGTGGAAGACTGTTGGAGCAAGTGAGAAGGCGGCCGAGGCTAAAACCATCAGTATTTTGAGTGTCATATGACAAAGTGTACTGCAAAGACGGCACACTCAGTAATTACCTGAGTGTAATTACCTCAGTCAACCGTGGCAGCCGCCGCCCATCGCATGCTGACTAACTCAGTCAACCGTCACAATGACCCGCCATCGTAGCTGCCTAAGAGGTTGTAGCCATAAGTTGAAATACTGGCACAGGAAATGACGCCTACACAGCGGGGTGAAACACAAGAGTTACCAAGCGCGGGTTTATGGCGGGAGCTTCCGCTACTCACTTCAAGCGCGGGTCTATAGCGGAAGCTCCAGCTTGTCACTTCAAGCGCGGGTAAATGGCGGGAACTCCCGCTACTCACTTTAAGCGCGGGTAAATGGCGGGAGCTCCCGCTCGTCACTTCAAGCGCGGGTCAATGACGGGAGCTCCCGCTTGTCACTTTAAGCGCGGGTAAATGGCAGGAGCTCCCGCTACTCACTTCAAGCGCGGGTTATTGGCGGGAGCTCCCGCTAGTCACTTATGTGGGTTTATGTCTATGTTCCTTGCGGGTTTATGACGGGAACATTTTGATAGCCTCTCGGGCCAGAATTGCACCACTTTATATCAAACCATTATCAACTTAAAGTCCCATAAAGCTATATAATACTTTCAGTATATATATATATGAAAAACTTTGTTAGCTTTAAGAGCAAACGATAGTATAAAATGGGTTGTAATGCCATAAAATTTGTATAATTAGCCAATTTACTTGATAAAGCCCACAAGGGAGCAGTAAATATTTGCTACGTAATTTTAAGACCACTCTGCCACCTGGGGATTTTCTGGTCGTGCAGGTGAAGATATTGCAACACTGAGCAATCATAGTCTATGTTTCAGACATCCTTGGCCATGCTTGCAATCACAGTGCATGTTGCATGACGTAATGAGACAGATAGACGATACTAACCAATCACAGTGTGTGTTCCTGTGACGTAATGAGACAGATAGACGATACTGACCAATCACAGTGCGTGTAGCACTGACGTAATGAGACAGAGAGACGATACTGACCAATCACAGTGCGTGTTCCTGTGACGTAATGAGACAGATAGACGATACTGACCAATCACAGTACGTGTTGCTGTGACGTCATGAGACAGAGATACGATAGTAACCAATCACAGTGCGTGTTGCTGTGACGTAATGAGACAGATAGACGATACTGACCAATCACAGTGTGTGTTGCTGTGACGTCATGAGACAGCCAGGTGATACTAAAGCTGCCGTCTTACACTAGGCTGACTTGGACCAAAGATGACTTGCATCAATCTTGAGGTTATCTTGAGATGATTTCGGGGCTTTAGTGTCCCCGCGGCCCGGTCCTCGACCAGGCCTCCACCCCCAGGAAGCAGCCCGTGACAGCTGACTAACACCCAGGTACCTATTTTACTGCTAGGTAACAGGGGGCATAGGATGAAAGAAACTCTGCCCATCGTTTCTCGCCGGCGCCCGGGATCGAACCCGGGACCACAAGTTCAGTGTGCTGTCCGCTCGGCGGTGTTCTATTCTTACTCCTTCAGTTTTTTCCCTCCCACCTTTTCTTTCTTTTCTCCTCTCTCTCCTTCCTCTCCTCCTATCCCTGCTTTCTTCCATCTTTTTTTTCCCTTTCCATAACCCCTGCTTTATCCTCCTCCTCCCTCGTTTCTCCCACTATCCCTCCTTCTTACCCTTTTATTCCATCTCCATCCTTCCTCCTCTTTCTATCCCTTCTCCTTTCCCTGTTGTTTAAGATTCAGCTACTGGGAACTAAAAGTTGCAAGTAGCACGGGCTATGGCGAGCCCGTGATGAACTTACCTGGCACAGCAGCGAGGCTGAAACTTCTGCCCTTTCCCACTTCTTCCTGTCCTATATACCCCCCCCTTTTCCCTCCTGTCCACGGTTGGTGTCACTCCCCCTCGTCGTCGTCTGCCCGTCTCGGACGACGGGTCGTCTGCCCGTCTCGGACGACAAGTCGTCTGCCTGTCTCGGACGACGGGTCGTCTGCCTGTCTCGGATGACGGGTCGTCAGCCCGTCTCTCTCTGCTTCAACTGCCGTCCATGGACAGGCAAAGGAACATGGAGGATGTTCAGTTTTTATTATAGTTTTTCATTTCGAAATTAATGTTCTAGACAGGTTCTGGTCCGTTACTTCCCCGTCTCTCTCTCTCTCTCTCTCTCTCTCTCTCTCTCTCTCTCTCTCTCTCTCTCTCTCTCTCTCTCTCTCTCTCTTCTACCCTCTATCCCTCTCACTCTTCTCTACTGTCTCTCGCTCTCACTCAACCCTCTCCCTTTGTCTCACATATTACTACTTGCTATTATCTGCAGTCATCTATATTTTCCTTTCTACATATATATCTTTCCTTGCCTTATTCCGTTATGTACTCTCTCTCCCTCTCTCTCTCTCTCTCTCTCTCTCTCTCTCTCTCTCTCTCTCTCTCTCTCTCTCTCTCTCTCTCTCTCTCTCTCTCTCAGAGCATCACCAGAAGCCAGTAATTACCGAGGAGCTGTTCTCATGGTGTTTACACATGTAAAAGAGTTTCCTTGTAAAGTATCAATTATGCGATAGTGTTACTCTCGCTAGACAGACACACACACATCGCTAGAGTCTCTATATAGTATTAATATTATTATTAACATAATAAGACAAACTGGAGAAAACTTATCAATCTTAAGATGCACATATATTTATGATTGTCATTGATACAAGTACACCTCACTATACAAGTACACCTCACTATACAAGTACACCTCACTATACAAGTACACCTCACTATACAAGTACACCTCACTATACAAGTACACCTCACTATACAAGTACACCTCACTATACAAGTACACCTCACTATACAAGTACACCTCACTATACAAGTACACCTCACTATACAAGTACACCACACTATACAAGTACACCTCACTAAACACTCTGCCCATTGTTTCTCGCTGGCGCCCGGGATCGACCCCGGGACCACAGGATCACAAGTCCAGCGTGCTGTCCGCTCGGCTCCTCTTTATTTATTTTGTCTTTATTGGTTGTTATAACTGGTTAGGTGGTGTTAAAACTTGTCCAAACGTTGTACCAACGTCGTAGTTTCGGCGTGTGTTTGGCGGGAGGAAATTG